AATAATAATATAATAAAATTAATAAAACAAATATGAAAGAAATATGAAATTAAATCACACTTGGTATTAAAGTTAAATGCTCTAGATCAACTCAAAGTTAAGGTTACAACTGGCTTGGTAATCAAAGCTCAGAGTCATTGACGATCCAAGTCAAAGTTGAGAAAAATTTAATACTATTAAAAAAAAAATTTTCCTTTTTTTTTTTCTTTTAGATTAAAATAATTAAACCTTAAAATCAAAGTCAAGATTGGGAAAAATTATTAAAATTTGAGATTAAAAATAATTAAATTTCTAAAATCAAAGTTCGAAGTCAATGAGAATAAACTCAAAGTTCAAGCCAAATTAACAAAAACCCCAAGTTGATTAATGTGGGTCAAATTTAAGATGAGAATCTAAAATGATTAAATTGAAAGTCTTAATTACGGTAATTATCAAAGTTATCAAAATCTAATTGCTATAGAAGTCAGAGTCCAAATTACATTTACCGTGAGTAGGGATTAAAGAAAGTCTGAGTGGGAAAGCGATCAATCCAAATGATCAAGCTTAATGTGGGCTTCCGAATTCCAATAACAGTCCAAATAACAAAAGCTAGCAACATTCAAATCAAGATGTTATTATTTTCCGTATTTCTTATTCCTGCAAGGATCAAAATAATAGCATCACAGAAAAGGTTTCAAAATGGCAAAGTTCAAATCAGGGATATTGCAGCAGTAGTGAGAATAAAGCTTTTATTCCAACATAGCTGGATCCAAATTAGCTAAGCAAAACTTTGAATAAAAGATTGCATCAAATTATTAGAACTATTCAGTGTAGTTCCCGGTTAGGGTGCAAAGTTGGCATAGTACCTTTGCTAAAGCAACACCCAAGAGATCTTTAAAATTAGTAGGTATTAAAGGAAGGAGAGCTTGGGCTCTATCCTGCACTCAAGGAGCAACACTCCAAATTAACTTAACACACTGGCTTATGTGTCTGAAGTCAGTTATCCAAATTTGATCACAGAAGTCTGGTGTAATTTGCCAGACTCTATAGTTCCACTTCTGCCACTAGTGATGCAGAAATCGATTTAGTGCAGAGCATGTAATTTGTTCCGCCAGCCCGGAGGGGAGCTGTGGCGCCGCCGAGGGCTGTTTCGTTCAATGGACCTGACCTGCCAGTTGGGGTGCTGTGGGTTGGTTTGTTTCGCAATGTAGCAGAAGAAGAAAGGCTTCCTCTCTGGCTATGGTCCTCGGACCCAGTAGCTGTTAGCCTCAGGCTAACGCAGTTAGCAGATCGTTGCTGTAGCAACGCAATAGTTCACCAATCAGAGTTCGCACTAGTTCACCCAGCTCTCGACACAAGTCCCGTTCGCGGGGTCAAAAAGGGATTGTCTCCCGTTTATTTAATACAGCTTGATCCAAGCCTCAATTTTACCGTGGCTTGGCTCGGGGCAGGAACGCCTCGTAGTCAAGTTTCGGATGCTGTATAACTCCGCTGCAAGTAGCTGTTTACTATTTAAGTAGCTAGTTTAAATAGAAATGGGAATAGTTGCTGGTAACCTAACGATCAATGGCTCCACACGTCTAGCCATTATTTATAGCTGCAAACAAATTATACTGGCGCAGCGCAGCTATAATCTTTTGCCAAAACAATAACCGGCCTTAATTCACAGTGAATTCACAATTTTAGTTCTCGAGTTTATTTCGTCAAAGCGGATTTGTCTACTCGTCAGCAGACCGTTTATTAAATGTAGCTCAATCTCATATGGTTACCGTAAATTACTCAATCAGACATTAGTTCAGCGGCTGAAACGCGGTACAGTTTAGCTCAATTACAGATTATTTAATCATAAACACAGGCGCGGCGGCCATTCAATTGCATTAAATTTCAAAAGCGGGTTAAGGCGTAGAGGCCCACTTCACACACACATTTCAGCAATAGGTCAGACATCTATCAGAGAGAAAGCATTCTGAGGAGCGACTTCAATGTTTGTTAATTGTTGGTATTAAAACCCAATATGGATGGGGGAATTTCAGTATTTCAGTTTATAATTTCACAGCGTCAAGGATTTCGTGTGTGTACTATCGTGTGTGAGTCCAGAGTTTTTACATACCTCGCGGTGGGCACCATTTGTAGCAGATCTAGGCTACGTAAAATTTTAATACAGTTATGAAAATGAATATTTCCAGGAATATTAATTTATGCCTCAAAATAGGAGCACCACCCAAAGATTTGCTTGTCTGACCAAGGCTTTAGGTCCTTGAGTATAGCCTGAGAATTACACGAATTTCTGGTAATTCATTTGTTGTTACTGGTTCAGTTATTCTGAAATCGTAAACTCTAGTCAATCAGTCAATCTCAAATCTGAGGGTGAGTTCTATGTATAGGGACTTAATAACACACACACAACATCATTGTGCTCAAGGTGAACAAAAGAGAGTACAATAGTGGGTAAATGTGGTAATATTACAGGGACAACAGTCAATTTGACAACCAGGAGGTAATGAACAGGATAGCCTATGTAAGGCTCGATTGAATTTCAATTTATATTGTAGAGGGAGAGAATTCTACGAGTATGAGGGAACGAATGACCGAAATTAGGTTGCAGATTTAGTTTGACTAATCTAGGGGTTTATTAACGGTGGATTGAGCCAACTAGAGAACACCAACGAGTCACAGAGTGTGGTTTGTTTTGCCCTACCGTTGCCGCACGTCCCGTAGCAAGGCTCGACTGCCGGTAGGCTTGTGGAGTTGGTTCTGGCCCGACCCCAGTGGCGTTTTCGAGTTGAGTTCGAAACCGGTGGATTTGTTCAGGAGTCCTTTGTGGGAAGCGCTTGCAGCAACGGGTCGTCAGCCAAGGCTTTTACTCTGATCTCAGTTCGTTTGGTGTCGCTATAGCGGAGCCCACTCAGGGTTCTTTCATCAGAGCCGTGGTTTCATTCATTCAAGGCCATAATGAAGGCTTCAGAGTTTCTGGTCCAAAGTTGTTCAAAACGATCAGATAAGGTTGCAACAACAAAATCAAATAAACTGACACTCGCCGTAGGTTCGCCAGGCCTCGGGAATATAGGCTATTTAATGTTGCTGAGATTAAACAGGTCTGGGGAAAGTTTCTCCCAGGCAGCTCCAAACAAAAATCAAAAATCAAATCTCCCGCTAAGAAAATTGGGATTCAGGGTCGTAGCTTTCTCAGCTCGTCTGAAGGAAATTTAAGTACGAAACGAAAAAAAGATCGGAATTTCAAAACGTAAAGGAAGTTAAGAGAGCGTATACGTTTAGTTTCAAGAGAGTTTTTTTTTTTAGAAGAGAAGCAGAGGAAGACAAAAGACAGCAAGGCCTTTTATTTGACTTCATTAGGTAGTGGTGACGTCAATTTTGGAGGGGGTCTCGAGGGAAGTCCCCAAATGTGTTAACTTTTTGGGATAAAGAATATATGTTATATATATATGTTATGTTAATATATGCGCGTATTTCCCTTTAATCTCTCTCTCCACAATATCGACATTTGGAAAAATACTCAGTTCTAAACATTTGGATAAAAACAATTAAAACGAGGCTAAACACTATGGAAAAAGGTTATAATGGTTATATAAAACGTAACAACGCTTAATTACATGTCCTCAGTATACTTGCTGGTTACTGGTTTTAACTCGAGACAATTTAGATGTAAGCGTGGCAGCAAAATTTCGTTTATGCAATTACATGGTGATAGGTAGCGATCATGTCAGTGTAAGCCGAGTTTTAAACACTTGCGTGTTATATCTTACCTGTCCCCTTGGTGGCGCTCGGGTCACACGAGAAAACAGTAGACATTCCACTTTAACTGAGAGGCTGGTGATACGCACGAGCGTATCAATGGATATTTTAGTAGGAAATTGTATATGAAACATTTAACTAAAGCATTAGTTAATACTGAACAGACAGTGATTACTAGGGAGTAACAGGGATGAATTAAGACAAAACAGAAAGAGGTTAGGGAACTTCTTCAAGATTACTTTCTTATGGGTCTGCGAGTTTTTAACCATCACTAAAAGGATAACAACAGGGTCATTACTTACTAAACTCAGAGGCAAATGCCGCTGCTCACTTAGCAAGGTTATTATTTAAACAGAACAAACACAGTTATAATGGAACCTTGCTTGGTTCGAGAAACAGGGGTTGTTATGGTCTCTTTTCTTTGCATTCCTGGCTTATCGCATCGGCTATCAGAGAATGAAATGGTGGTTTATGGCTCAGCCGTTCTGTGGAGAGAAAAGAGTCAGATTGAGGCCAGAGGTGACCTGCGGGAGGGAGAAAGGGGTCAGATAGCCCCTTCTCCTGTCCTGTGGACTGTCTTTAGTGACACCTTTACGGCTAGAAAGGTTCACTAAGGCTCTTTGAAAACACAATCCTTAAGCGATGCATTGTCTGATTGAGTCTCTTTCGGTCCTTACCAAACACCAGGCGATGTCTCTGGTTTTTACATGTGAAAAGGTCAACTCTCGGGGAGGGAAACTTCCCTCCCTCTTTTGACACCATCTGACCTTCTTTGAAGAGCGTCTCAGCAACAATGCACAGTAAGCACTGCGCTCATCAGTGTCTCTTTCCAACTTGTGTTAAAAGGACAGTCCACTACCACAAGCACAGTACTTTGTCACTCCATCACAGCTGTGTACATATGGCCTGCATTCAAGGGGAACCCTTGGAGGGATGTGTTCATTTACAATGTAAAATACTTCAGATAGTAGTATTAGTGGTATTTCATTCTTTTCTCAGAAGAAGAAGAGCAAAAGATGCAATTCAGAAGGCAAAAGCAGAGTGTGAACTAGAATTAGTCCAAACCTGGATTATTTTCATCCATTGATACTGAAAAATTCCTTTGATTAAATAATGGTCAAGGTCCACTTGAGTTCTTTAGGTTTAAACAATGCTTGTCCGTCCGTCCCCAGTTTGGAAAGTGTCTCACCAGCAGGTCAGCGGAACATAACAAAACTAAAATGAACATCTGAAAACACAAATAACTGACCACCTGTTGTTGTTGTTGAATCATATTTATTATCACGGAGTGGATTTACAGTGGTTTGATTAAAAAATGTTTACCTTTAAATGTGTGTGTGTGTGTGTGTGTGTGTGTGTGTGTGTGTAGAAGGACATTCTTTCAGCTGCTCCAGGTGAGTCTGAACCCTGAGGGCAGGGTAGCGTACTGGGCTTGGAAAACGATGGACACTTGATGTGAGGAGGCTGTGAACGGAGCGATGTTGGTTTCCTAAACAAACAACAGAGAGAGGAGAAACTAATAACACACTTGTTTATTCAAACTATCAATCATAGTCCTGATTATTCATTACTTCACAGTCGAAATATACTATGTAGTATAGGCAGCACCTTCCACACTCACACATGAGAGTAACTTATGTGTGAGATATTACTGATAGTGTGTTTTTTGTGTATTTCCCTAAGCGACTCCATTTATATATGCAGCCAGTTAAACTCCATCATACTCGACCTCTCCCCGTTTCCTGACCATGCTGCCTCTCCAACAAGCTCACTACATGTAGCTAGTTAGCTACAGATATCAACAGCACAGCCATCACTTGCAAGGTACCACAGACTGTGACTCTGAACCCCCTTATCCCTCCTTTGGGTTAATGTTTTCTAATGTTTTTTACACAATTTAGCTTTATTAAACGTCGGGTGTTTGGCAAGAAAAAACATTTCTAACCAACAATTGTGTAATCTATCACAATCTTAACTTCATGTTTTTAACTGAAACTTGGTTAGACCAAGATAACAGAGCAGCTGTTCTTTTTTTTTTTTAAACCTGTCCTGCCCAGCAGGTATAGAGTATAATGACCTGGATACCATATTGTGCCAGACAGATTTTACTTTAACAAGAGAGTATTAAAATACACCTTTGTCTGTTTTATTATATATTTAATTATGTATTGATTTGTCACCGGGCCGGACAGGGGGGCAGACACGGGGATGGGGGGGCACAAACAGACAGCACAGAGAAAGGACAACACCTGTAAGAGAAGGGGGAAAGGGGGATGGAAGGTGGGGACAACAGGGAAAAGCAGTGGGAAACAGCAATTGCAGAAAGCAACGAAACCTGCAATAGAACAGAGAGGGGGGCTTGGGGAGGAGAAAAACACAAAAAACAAACACAAACAAAAACAAACAATAAAAATAATAATAATAGTAAAAGACAACCAGCCGAACAGCAGCAATGAACAGCTGACATAGCAAGACAACTAAGAGAAAAATGAAAACAAGAAACAGTCACACATACTAAATAAGCAACACAGCACAGCCACGAGAGCTGGAATAATAATTAATTTAAATAAGTAACTGAAAGAAAAGCATCAGGAATAATTCTACCAGGGTCAACCTAAATTCGTTTGTGTCTATGTGTGAGACTGATTTTGTCTGTGTGCGTGTGGGTGAGTGTGTCTGTATGTGTGTGTGTGTACATGTGTGTGCGCATAAGCCTGTTAAAGAATGTAGTTGTTAGTGAGAGTGGGACGCCACGACTGTGCCACACCTACCCCAGCAACAGGCAGGCAAGAACCCCAGTAGCCAATAGGGGTGGGAGAAAGAAAAAGAATAAATCAATAAAAAAAAAACCAAAGACTCCCAGATGCACCGCGATGCAAACGCGGAAGACCCCGACCCAAATGCCAACTGACAACGTAATGCTGACAGAACGCAAAAAGCGTAACCCGCGCCCGGACCGACTGCCGCGCGCACACAACATAGACCAGTGCTCCCCCCAACCCAGCACCCCACCGCCGCGCAGCGAATAACCAAAATGCCCAAATGCCACGCAATCATCAACACCAATGCACAAGTGACGAGCCCAACGCGTACACTGCGCGAGTACGGCGACTGCCAATGCCCAGCAGCGCCCCCGCGAATCCCGCGTGCGAGGTCGGGCAAACGAGAGAGAGCAAACGGAACAACACGACAGTGAAAGCCAGCGGAGAGAAACACCAGCAGCAAGTCCCAGCCCGGCAGCAAACGCGCCGCACAGGTCACCATGCACCCGCCAATAAAAGTCCGCCGTCCCCCCCAACCGCTGGAAAAAACTAAGGCCGCCGGCGCCAGCAGACATCCCCCATGCCCAGCACGCCCCCCCGGCCACCGTGCAACACCAGCCAAACCAGCAACGAGGCAAAATCAACTAGCTCAGCTGCATGCCACCAACAACCCACCCACCCGTCAAGGGCCGAGAAATCCAGGCACAAACCCAGAACAAACCGGAGCACAGCCCTGCCCCGCACCCACACTGCACATCCCGAAAACTAACTATATACCTCAGTATCCAGAGGGGTCCAACAACTGGCCGACAGAAAAAATGGGGAAGCACGGATCCGAGGCCAATGAAGCAAAACAGGGACGCAAACAGGTCCCTCCAAGCCAATGAGGAAATGCCTCCCCCGGACTCCAATGCACAAACTAAACGCCCAGCAGCCATTCAGAGACCCTGCCCAGGGAAAAAGCACAATGCATCAAGATGCATCGACAATCGCCCCACAATCCCACCGCAGCCCACCAAACCGCAATCGGATCAACCCGCGCAGAGACCCCCTCCCCCAGAAGCCAGGGCAACCCGCGACCCCCCAAAGCGCAAAGGACCCCAGACCGTATGTCCCGGGGGAAGCTGTACCCCGCCCCAAGGAAGAACAGCAGAAAGCCGTGCCTGGAAGCTCCCTGCCACCAGGGAGCGATAACGCGGGAGAACCAGGCCAACGGTCCCCCAGCCCAGCCAGAGGCATCCCTCCCTACAGTGCAGGCAGTGCCAGCAGCCCCCGAGGCCGATCTCATCCCCGGACAGGGGCCCAGTCCCCCCAGTCAGGGACCCCCAAGGAGAGCACCAAAACCTACCCCGACAACGCCGGCCATGTGCCCCAGAGACTCCCGAATGCCCCCACGTTGAGAGGGCTGGCATGGGGAAGCAGCGGGAGCCTCACCTCTGCTGAAGAGGGCCCAGGCGAGGAGAGGAGACAACGGGCCCCCAGGCCAGACCCGCCCAGAAATGAGCAAAGGCCACAAGCCCGAGTCCCCAGAACCCTAGGTCAAGGGCGGGCCCCCACACCAAGGGAGCCCCGACCCCCCCCAACCCAACCCCCCAGATCAGGCAAGGCCGTCACCAACCCCACAGCACCCCCGACGCCCGGGGCTCCAGGACACGAGGCCAATGAGAATCTCCCCCACTCCTTCAACCCCTCTGCCTGCCTCTGTAAATGTATTGTTTTGTGTTGGATGCATGTCATGGATTGTGAAGTGTTGTATGGTGGAGTAAAGATAAGGTGTGCAGTAACTAAGGTGCAACTAAAATTGGAGGGTAGTTGTGACACAGGCAGGTAGTGGAGCCTCCCATCGTGCCCCTCCCACCACCCAAGCCCTCTTTGTCTAATGTGTAATTAAAATTGAGGGGCGGGCAGTGGGGGGAGGAAGAAGTGCGAGGCCGCAATAAAGCAGCCCCACCCCCCAAACGCCCTGCAGGCTGCCCGCCCCCCCAGGGTCCTAAGGGTGTATGTTGTGAGACATGACCAAAGGGGGAAAGGTGAAGGAGGTCATAGGGAGGCTAGAAGACCAGATTCCTGACTGGCCCCCTCATTCATTCAGTCCTGTCCCCCACCCCCCTAAGCAGGAGGACGCCAGGTCCGTCCAGCACAGGGCTTATAGCAAGAGCCCCTCTAGCACCGGCAGCACCCCAGAGTCAGCGACAACCCAGGCCATCCCCAGACCCCCACGCACCCCGAGGCAGGTCAGTGCAGCCCCAACCCAAAGTCCAACAATCCCCCGTCCTCGCCGGGCCCCCCCCCCCTACAAGGGAGCAGGTCCGGAGCAGCAAGGACCCCGCCCAAGGACAGAACGGCCCAACGGCCCACACCCAAAGGTCGGCCCACACCCAGGAGGCAATGCCACTCAGGCCAGATCAGGCCAGAAGACCCCCACCCCCGCGCCCTTCCCTCCCTAGCAGCGAAGCACCTCACACACAAACCCTCACCGTCCCCAAAGAAAAGAGACAGCAATCACCCCGCGACAGCAGCAACAGCCCCTCAGCCCTAGGGAGTCAGCAGATGCACCCAGCCCCTAGGACTCAACACGACCACAATCCAGAGGGCCGCGACGCGACTGCGAAGCAACCATCGACACACCCCAAAGCACAATCCCTCCACACCACTCCAGTCCAGGCCCGCACCTGGTGCCCCCAACCCCCAACAAGCACGCAAGCCAATAACAACCTACAGGTGAGCCAACCAACACTAATAAGCTACCAATCTAACTAGCGGCACACAACAGCCAAGTAATGCGCTGCACAGGAGAGATGCCAGCCGGCGCAAACCGCCCCCATCCCCCCCGCAGGAGAGACCACAGACCCCACCCACGGCTACACCGTGACCCACACCGCACGTTCACCACCGGACCGAAACCCACCACAAGCATCCCCCCCCGCCAACCCCCACCGCCATGCCCTCCACCCAACCCGGACCCACACACAGGACACACAGAGAGGCAGCCAAGCACCGAGCGCCACCACATGTGCACAGCGCGCGAGTCAAAATCACCACCCGCGCACCGATACCAACAACCGCGCGACACCCAAGCAGAGTGGCTACCCACCCCGCAGCACTGGCATGCCGAATACAGGGCAAACATGTATGATGTGTCAACCTCTATACTAATGTCACTTAGGTCCCCCAGCACGCAGAGTGATGGGGAAACTGGGACGGGGTAACTTAGCCATATCGATAGGTCTTCACATATCTTCTGCCAGAGCAGAGCAGCTGTTCTTCAAGTCTACCCCTCCCGACTCCCTCCAGTGAAAGAAGATGTCTTATGGAAATTTTGCTTCTTTTAAATATGTGGCTCTCCTGTTGAATCGCATTTCTAATAGTCCAGGTGATATGTGAAAATTATGTTCACTTTTTCATATAAGCATGAAAACGGGGTACACTTTGAGGCCCTACATATTTTCAGAAATGGAGCCATTGCAAAATCACCTCATGGCAGCCATGGCGCCACGTTTACTTTCCATAACCAAATTATGTATTTTGCATCATATCTCCTGAACCAAACATGTTCATAACCTGCATCAGTTGAACAGTTAATGGTGAATTCATTGATTTTGTGAGAAGATTTACAAGATTTGCAGTATCTGATACAATTTCTAGCATATTTGGTGTAATCTTTAATTTACCAATTTAACAGAATGATCTGTTATGTTAGTGTCCACAAGGGGGAAGCATTTATTGCAATTGCAGCCAGGTGACAGTTGAACTGTCACTATTAGGTGCGTTCAAGATGACTGCGGCTGACTTTCGCTGACTTGATAGTCTAACGTGAGCTGAAGGAGACTGCAGGGACGGGGGGAAAAAGACGGTGCCGTTAAATCAGACACATTCTTCCTGCGTGAGCTTACTATGAGCTTAGAAAATGATCTTGTGGCATTTGCAAAGAAAAATGCTAGGCAAGACTAGGCAAAAGGCGGTTCCAACTTTGTCCAGCAGGAGAAAAGGGACTGCGGCCGCCTTGCTCCCGTGAGGTTTTAATGTGACATGGTGACATTTTGCAAGTTGGAAACAATTTCTAACAAGCATGCCTTATGTTAAGTCCAGCATGCATCACGTTAAGTCACAGCTGCGCAGCGCCGCATGAAGTCAAACACACCTAATGTCATGTTGGGAACAGAGCTGCACTCTGCCTGAGGTAAGTAAAAATACACTTTCCTGAGAGGATTTTTTTAAATATCCCTGAAATATATGACATCAGGATGTGGAGCAAGCTAGCTAGCTAGCTAGCTAATAATATATTTATTAGCTGGGCTGGCTCGAAGTGGTTGGGTGGACGCCCTTGTCCAAGCTAACATAGCCACCCAGGGAGTAGCAGAGTCCTTCCTGAAAGTGTCCCATGGCACACAGAAAAGGTGTTCGCATCAAGTGACTGCCAGTAGTCTCCACATCCTGATGACAAAAGCCTACAACCAGTAGGGGTAAACCGGGGGAAAAGTAACATGGCGATGTTCTCAGAGCCCTGACTGCATTTGCAGTCCAAGCTGTGACAGCACCTTCAGCACGCAACCCTTGATGGAGCTGCCAAATATCACATGATTTTGTCATCGTTTCCCGCGGACGTCTTCAGAAAACTGTTTTTGAGCACGGCAAGTAATTTTCTGAAGCGGGACTGTTGTTGTCGAATTACAAGTTGTTTCTCTCGTTTCATGTGTCACAGTAATGATTAATCTACAGGTTATTTAGTGCTTTAACACACCCTGAAGTTTGCCCTGTCAGAGTTTTTCAGTATAAATATAAATTGTGTTTATATGTCAGGAGTTCCTGTTGGAATGAAAGTAACACTTGTTACTTTTGTCCCGCTATACCTGACCACAAGTGTTTCTGTTGTCCCGCTGCTAATGTGGTGACTTTGTGTGTTGCAGCAGTTATTAAAACATGTTCATGTTATATTATACCAACAGAATATGTCAATAGTGTGGGTCAGAAAGACAAAGGTCTGATTCAGCCAGATGTTTATGAGAAGGCGTTTCTGGACATCTCTATTAGAAACATTAGACTCAGGTCAGCTGATAAAGCTGTTCAGATAATGCAGGAGGAGGGCAGAGATAATTTGGGAGAAGACTAGACCACAGATACAGATCACATTATTAAGTCTTCTCCTTGGACTAGGAAAGGAAGCTGCATGCTTATATTAAGAGAGCGGCTGATATTTATTTTGGCCTGTCTCCTAATGGGGTCAGTGTAGTAGGTGTCAGTAAAAAGCACTCAAAATGCAGATGACCCATACTGTTCTTACTGAAACAATTTTAAATTAATTTCAAAATGTGAAATTTGTATAGGCCTATTCTGTCTTAATTTTATTGTTTATTTTCATTTTTGTCCTATCTATCTAAATTATGTTTCATTTTTTCACTGTTTCTGAAACTGCTACAACATGGAAATATTCCCAGTGCAGGATCAGTAAAGTCTTATTTTAATCATGTCAGGTTCATAAACAATGTCCATCTTACCATTTCCCCGCTATTTTAGGTGCACACATTTGCATATTTATATTATATATTTATAATATATCCTTAATATAATATGAAATATTCTAATCAATTCAAGTTTGGGTTGTCAGGTTACTTTTGAAACTGAATATTTAAAATAAAAATGTAATTTAAATTTTTTTTTTTAAAGATAAAGGACAAAAGATGTTTGCAGTTACACATTAACAAGGTCACAGTCATGTTTATTTATTAAATACAAGGGTGGTAACACAAAAAATCTAGCTTGTATTGTTGTGTTACTTTTGTCCCAGCTGACGGGTCGAAAGTAACAATGTGACACTTACATTTAAAGTGAAATTATACGGAAGTCGTTCTACATTTGTACAAAATACCACCTGATATTGATAGACCACACCTGTGAGTTAGTGACCACAGCAAAAATATATCTCTGAAACATTATCTTTTAAAATCAGGTTTTTCTGAAAAATGGTACTTTCGCCCCTGCTCTCCCCTACACTGAATCAAGACTATCTGCTGATCCGCTTGTCACCACTGACAACTGGTGTACCATGAAGCAGCAATTCCTCAATTTCTGTTTTGTGGCAAAGGAGTTTCTGACAGGGAAATTCACCGTCACAAAGATTTAGAAGTGTTTTGAGCAACGATCAAATGCATCAACAAAACCAAGCTCTTGTGGATGCTGTTCAGGTTCAAACCACGTTTTTGTCAAGAAAACACACGTGAAATGTGAAACGGGAAACGATGCGAACCTACACTCAAACCAGCTGTTGTTTGTTATTATAAAGATATCAATTATAAAGACAAAGAATATGGGTGAAAGAATGAATTGTCTGAGCTACAGAGAGAGCTGGAGGTGAGTAAAAAGTGTTTTGCTGTTGGTAAGCAGCGCACTGGCTGTAACTCTGGACAGAGTGGTCCTCTACCGAACTGGTCGGTTTGGTTTGAAATGCCGTCACAGATATTCCCTGAGCTGAATGGTAGCTGCGTGTGCCTGTGTGACGCAGGCGCGTGCGCCTATTGCCACAATACGCCACTACATGTGTAGATGTGTCTTAGTCTTGTGCGTCTTCCTTGTCCGCCAAAGTGGCGGGAAATGTGATGTGATGTGCAAATTGGGAGGTTGTCAAGGAAGATAATCCGGTGCAGGCGCGGGATGATCCGGTCCTGGTCTGCCCCCTAGTGGATTCAGGTTTAATCTTCCAGGTACACACAAAGTACGCAGGCAAGTATGTGAACAAAGCAACAACAATTGTTGAAAAGCAAGTATATCCATGGTTTTTCTCCCGTCTGTCATGTGACCACAGTGTAATCGCAGCGTTTGTGATTACAAAATCTCGTTTGATCATACTGCGATATTATCGCAACTGCAATTACTCGTTCAGCCCTATTTGCAAATGCAAAAAAGTTCATAGCTCTGTGTCAGTCTGGAGGAGACAGAATGAGAGAATAGTTTTGTGATGGCTCCATTTCTGAAAATGTTCAGGACCCAAACTGTAGAAGTGTACAAAGTTTCATGCTTTTATGAAAAAGTGAACATATCACCTCAAATTTGGCACATATCACCTAGACTAAGCTATATTTCTAAATATCTACAGGCCCCCTAAATACTGTGCAACCTTTTTTGATGCCTTTGGTGAACTGCTGTATATAACCTGTATTGACTTTGATTGTGTAGTTATTGTTGGTGATTTTAACATCCCTGTTAACAACCTCCAGGACAGAGAGACTAAAGAACTGTGTTTGTGTGTTCTGGATAATTATTGACTGACTCAACATGTGATGCAGCCCACACACAATCTATCAAACTGATTAATTTTAACAGTCCTTAAAATCTTTAAATTGAGGTAATACCCATGCTTGGTTAGTATACAAAGCTACGCGCGCGCGTGCGTGCGTGTGTGTGTGCGCGCGCACAGGTTGGTCACTGTGCGAATATCTACATTACCCACAACACCCTGTCTATGCAGATCCTTCTTAGAAAACATTTATTCCAATTTAAAGCAGTTAGCTGAAATCCAAAATGCTTTTCACGTGCTGAATAGTCACTTTGCACTTGTTTAACAGAGGACCGCACCAAGAAAGACACATTGTAAAGTAACTTAAAGCTGGGGTAGGCAACGCTGGAGACACCAGCAAGTGACAGGTAGGTTCTGAAAGCATCCAGAAAAAGAAACCCCCCCCCACAGGCTTCCCTTCAAAGCCACTCCCTCAAAACACATGTACATGAGCAGTGAGTGCACGGGCAGAGGGCGGACAGGTAGGCAGGCAGGTAGGGGCCGTGCTTATTACAGTCCTGACAGCCACAGATGCCAGATTTTTTCCATGTTTGTGTCAGAGAATTTGATTTATTGATGACTAACTGTTGGAATGTAAAGAGAATTTAAACAAACAGAACAAAAATGCTTCTGAATCATCTGCCTCCCTCAGCTTTAATCCTACCCTAAAGCTGTATGAGAGCTGGATGCTGTTACTTTTGCTGCTGCAGCAGTCACAGGAGACACGGTGCATTTGGCACTGAGGTCATATTCTGAGGGCAGATCACTGAAGGCCTAACAGTAAGGGACCACAAGGGCCCGCTGTAGTGAGCAGTGAGACGAAGACTCCTGTCAATGTGTCCCATTGTTGTGTGCAGCATGGAATCATATGCAGCTTGCTTTGTTTCTGACAGACTCCTTTATTCAAACGGTGTGGGTTTGTTTGGTTACTCTGTAGATACCAGTTGCTCTTCACGTTCTGCAGATCCAGTGATGTGGATGAACTGCGCTGTTGCACACCGTACTGGAAACCAGTTCCACCAACCAAGCTGTGTGGTCCTTCAAGTGAACTGAACTGAAGTGAGGCTGGGCTCATTTACATCTTAGTCTAAAACAGTCCATTAAATAGAAACATGTTCTGCCCCTGCTGGGAACAGGCTTAGTAACTACCCCCTGCACCTGCCACAGTACAACTGATTCTTGTATTACGTACCACTCCACAGTACGGTCCAGCAGGCAGTGAGGAGGTGTCTGGCCCATCATACAACTTCAGGAAGTTGTTCTGGCAATCTCCAGGGTCATCAATACTGATCTGGGCAAAGGTGACTGTCACCACGCGGCCTCTGGGTGCCAGGATGCCCCATTCACAGCGGGTACCGTTGGAATAGGTGCCTGGATAGTTTGGACTTGAGAATGAGCCATGGTCTCCGTACAGAATGCCACCACAACCTAGTACACAAACAAATTCAACAAAGATGCTCAGGATTTTAGAAGCAGGGACATGAACCATCTCTGCTGCTCGCAAGCCGTATTATTATTTACACCTATATTACACACAGTAATAACCACAGATCAAATATAACAAAAACATTACCACAAGAAACACCATATACAACCTAGTAGAAGAAAACCAGGTTAGACAAAACCGATGCTTCTGTAGTTCTCCTATCCATGTGTACCACCTCCAGACCTGGTCAAGAACTTGGACTGTTGGACTAACCAGAAATAGGCAAGATGACAGTTACCAATGTAAACACATCCACAGTCCATGACATGTCACGGTACTGCCAGTCCAGACCAGATTCATTTTGGAGAACTTCCAAGTGAAGTCCACCTGAAACACTGCTGGCTCCTCAGCTGATTCATCTTTGGCTTTAAGCTTTACAGTGTGAAGGGAAAGCTCGTGCTTTAAACTGGGACTGTGGAATTTAAAGACATAAGTGAAGGTATGGTCCCATGAAACACACTTTGCTTTATATCTATATATTTATTTAGCTTGTGTCACACTAGCCACTAGTCCATTACAAACTAAAACCTTCAGGAACACTTTGTGTGCAGCTTTTTTGAAAGTTTTGAGTGTCCACATTGATAGTCAGAATGTTTTAGCTATGGCTTCTCTCAGCTTCTCACCAAAGTAGTTTTGCAACTGCAAAACCAGGTGGGGCAGCAACGTTCGTTAATGTTAAAATTCTTTTCACTGGTGCAGCACCTGCTGTAAGCTCTTGATTCATGGAAGCTGCTTTAAAATCATTTGTATAAACAGTTCAGTTCTGACCGTGAGGAGAGGACGTCCATGTGGCCTCAAAGCCATCTCGGGTGGCGGAGAAGTCACTCTTGAAGCGTAAGTAGAGCAGGTTGGATTGTGGGAAGACGGGGCTGGGCAGTGTGCTACCACACAACTTATCGATCAGAGGTGAGTCTGCTGTACTGCCATTACGGATCTGAGAGGCGATAGAGAGCACTGTGATGTACTGAGGCCAGAGCAGCAACACTTTCCATGTAGAAAGACTGACTACAGGGCTGAGAAGAAGCTTTATGAATCCCTCCATGGGAAGTTCAGGTTTTACACTCTGTTATGATTATACACACAGGCCTGAGATACACACACACACACACACACACACACACACACACACACACACAGAACCTATACACATGCATTAACTCATATTTACTCTGATGCCTCCAGAGTGACTCTGTTCTTTGCATTCCCTGAGCTAGAAGCAAGCTCAGGCACACGATGACAGGACAAACTGGACTGATCATATAAAGGGGAACAGTGTCCATTGCATTTAACACCAGTTTGATTATTGTAAATGGGCCATCTTAAGATTACATGTTAATCGCTGTATCACAGAGCTGTAGCTCTCACACTTTACTTCTCTTTGCTCTTTAATATTACCTTTTGTCTGACAAACTTGGTTTCAACTTCAAATTGTACATCTTCTTCATGAGATGGGTGCTATTACTGTGTAGCTGATATCTGTAATGGTCGATTTTATATTAATATTTTTATGCATTTTAAAATGAATGGGTTCCTATGGGACTCCTCTTCCAACCTAGTGGGGGCAGAGCTAGACTGCCATGATGCATGGCAGTGAAGAAAGTTTTGTTAAAATTTGCTAATAAGTCTCCTATTTGTTTGAAATACAAAACAAATACTTTGTGATTCATGTATTTGTTAAATGTGTCTGCTTAGAAAATAGTGTTTTTTGTTGGTAATTGTCATTCTTGTGGTGGGTTACTATTGAAACCAGGAGTGAAGTGCCTGTTTCATTTGATAAAAATGGCTGCATTGACAGCTAGCCTGTGGTCAAGTTTGAGTTGGCTTAAGTAGTAATTTCTGACTGTCTTCTTTGCTCCCTCTCTTCAACTTGCTATCTATCTATCTCTGTAATTATTGTGAAGACCCATGCTTTATATTTTCATGCTCAGCTGCTCAAGCTATAACTAAAAAAACCAAAGGACAGCTGAAAAGCTTAATTTTTTAAGGCAAATGCACTTTAGCATCAACAAAACTTAAAATTGTTGCTCAAAAAGCCGTGTGGTCCAATAGCGTAGTGGCAAAGAGAAAGTCCTCAGAGTACTACTTCCTTATTAGCAAATTTTAACAAAACTTTCTTTCACAGCCATAAATCATGTGAACTCTGAGGAACGAGGTGATATGGAGCAGCGAAAGTCCATCCCTCAGAATTCCCATGATGCATGGCGGTTTTGATGAACAAAATGTGGAGTCCTTTCTGACTTGCAGTGCTTACTTTCAAAATTCTGTGTTGTCAGTCTTGCTAAATGAAATCATTGTTTACATGAAATTAAGTCTTTCACAGCATAATTCTTTGGCTGTTTATTTTATTCTTCAACAGTGGAGTAGACATCACAGAAAATGTGTTAGTAAGCAAAACATGCCTTCTATTGGTGCTTAGGAGGGTTTTTTTGTCAGAATAAGACACATGATTGACGTAGAAACTTGGAAGCCTTCCTTCCACAGTGTATCTCAGTAGTCCGGTGGTTTAGGTCTTGCTCTTCAGATCCAGAGATTGTTGGATGAAACCCCGCATGTTAACCAAATGGAGCAGAACTTATTACATATGTTTGCTGAGCAAGTGTGTGGCACATCAAGTCTCTTATATGTAGGTGGTGCTACAAAATTAAAAAAATTGCTGATGGAGCCGCACATTGCACCGACGGCGGTAGCAATCGCAAAAAATAGCTGGCAGCTCTCACACGCATTTTCGTAAGGAAATGTCCTTCTAGTATAAATATTGTTGACTTATTGTTAAGGCATGCTCACAGAGACAGAAAGATAAAGCCACCCCCCCCCCGCTACAGGACGAAGGATCAGTGAAAGTGTGTGCTGGTTGTTTTACCTCCAGGTAGTCAAATTCACAGTGGCTGTGGCTCTCCACATCGAAACTGTTAAAGAAGAAGGAGATGTAGCTGTTCTGCGGTGCCTTCAGGATAATGGTGCAGTCCATGTTGTGGGGGTAGGTGTCAGGCCAGCCTGGACTCTTCAGGTAGCCGTATTCCTGTTCATAGGTTCTGCTACAGCCTGGAAACCATCACCACAACCACAGTCAGAGCACGTATCTGACTGGACCAAGTTCCCTCAGAACCCCTGGGTGTCAAAATAGTTTCTCCTTACAATCTCGATCAGCCTACCAGAGAAGATCAGGGGAGAATGGGTTTTGGGGAGTATCCAGAGAAACGGACAGTGTCTCTTTCAGCAGCACAAATGAGAAACTGTCTGCATGGGTCGGAACCACGAGAAGGAGGAAGATGAAAGATCCTAACATGTTTTCTGTGGGTGACCCAAACTTTTCAAATAGGTTCACAGTATTTACTAAATCTCAGTCAATGAAGCGCTGCTGCTTGGTGGGACGATCTGATCAGTTACTGGCACATATGGGTCAAAGTTACCAGAGATCATGTCCATTCTCTTTTTTTAAACCAAACATGCCCATGTGTAAGTTATGTCCATCATGTCACATGTGAAGCTGTAAGTTATTTCATATAAATAATAACTAAGTAACAGTGCCTCTACCTGAGTAAGGGTTCTCATCTGGTGACAGATTTACTGCCGGTACCTACTGGCAGTCTGATAGCTGAAACTCAGGCCATTTCCTGTCATGAAGGTGTCGGATTTGAAGTACATGAGGATGGTTCTGCCGTAGCTGTAGAAGTCTAGTGGATGAGCGTCCGATGCACAGAACCTGTGGGACTGCCCATAGTCTCCCTGGAAACACAAGAATCACCTCATTCAGAACATATTGTACAATAAACCTGTCAGCTCTACTGAGCTGGATCTGAAGGAGCTGCACGAAGAGAACCATGATTTCAGTCAAGTGTTTCAGTTACTGGCCAATCTGGAAGACTGCTGCTGATAACTGCTGCTCATTTGTCCCATCGGTATTAGCTTGGTTGCAATGTGATACAATGCTCTAACTCACCATCGGCCAGTCCTTCATCTCAAGGTAGTTTGTGGTGCAGCTCTGGCTGGGCTGGACGACAAATATCTGGAGTGACACTTTAATGGTTTCCTGGGCCGGAGCATCCAGGATCCAGCGGCAGGAGGTGTAAGGGGGATAGGCATTGGGGAAGAAGGGTGAGGTCTGGGTCTGGACGGTGATCGTGGCATTCAGAGTTCCGCCGCACACCACTGAAGAAAGGTAAACACAAAGAGATGTTTGGAAAAATTTCTAAAGTTTCTTTAGGTTTCCAGTGTAAAGAGTGTGCATGTTGCTACGACTGCAGGATTCTGTCTGACGTGTTGAGGGGAAACTCTTAATAGCGGTCACATGTCCACGGAAAAAAATAAAGTGAAAGAAAGTGAGGCAGCAGATGAAGGATCATCTCACCAATCTATGTGGAACTTTCGTTGGGCTGCTGTGTTCTCTCTCGCTCTGAATTGAATAGTAAACTACATGTGTGCTCTGATTGGAGAGTAGAAAGTGTCTTACATGGCACAGCTCTGTAGGTAGCGTTGAAACCTCGTCTCTGTACTGAGCTATCAGTGACAAAGTGAATAGTCAGGAAGTTTCCACCTGACACAAAAGAAGGGATGGAGTTCCCACAAAATGTCCCAACCAGAGGGAAGTTAACGTTGTGGCCATCATACACCTGATAGAGACACATACATAAAGACATTAGCAGAAAACAGCAAACAGTATTATTGTCCTGCAGTACTTCAAGTAGGACATATCTGGCAGAATGAATTGTCTCTGATTATTACCTTGGCATCACAAACTGCAGAAATCTGCTTATCCACAATCATTGCTTGTGATTGGTTAACATGACACATAACTCAATTACATGTAATAAAAGAAAGAAAATGGCTGGGCGTTCTTTACTTTCACATAGTCGTAGCGGCAAGTAGAGGAGGCCTCAAGCTCAAAGGAGTTGAAGGTCAGATTGATCACCCTGCTGACAGGCATCTCAATGGTCCACAGGCAGTCCATCCTGGGTTCATAGCGCCCATCCAGATTTGGATCTGGAGAACCAAACATGCCCATGACCATGGACAGGTAGCCGCCACATCCCTGTGCTGGACCTACAGGCAATTCAGAGACAAATGCTTCTTAAAATGTATAATGTTTTCTAAAAAAGGCAACCTGAGCCTAAGTGCTCAAACAGAAACTAACATTCACACACATTCATACACTGGTGGAACAGCCACCAGGGGCAATTCGGCGTTCAGTATCTTGCCCAAGGAGACTTTGACATGCAGCCTGGAGGAGCCGGGGATTGAACCGCCGACCTTCCAATTAACGGGCTCTACCTCCTGAGCCACAGCCGCTCCTATGTGAATAAATAGTAGGTGGGAGTCAGTAAACAGGTGGCTGATTAGAGACAGAGTTACTGGATTATTGCACAGGAATTGTTCCTGACACTGTGAGTCAGAGTCAGCTGTTCATCAGAGTGATGGCTTGTGGGAAGAAACTGTTCCTGTGTCTGTTGGTTTTGGCGTACAGTGCTCTGTAGCGCCTACCAGAGGGCAGAAGCTGGAACAGGTTGTGTCCGGGGTGAGATGGATCTGCAGTGATGTTTCCTGCCCGTTTCCTGACTCTGGAAACGTACAAGTCCTGAATGGAGGGCAGGTTGGCACCGATGATTTTTTCTGCAGTCCTGACTGTCCGTTGTAGTCTGTCCTTGTCCTTTTTGGTGGCAGATCCAAACCAGACAGTGATGGAGGTGCAGAGACAGACTGGATGATGGCTGTGTAAAATGGATCAGCAGCTCCTTAGGCAGGTTGAGCTTCCTGAGCTGGCGCAGGAAGTACATCCTCTGCTGGGCCTTCTTGATGATGGTGTCAGTGTTGGGCTCCCACTTTAGGTCCTGGGATATATTGGATCCCAGAAACCTGAAGGACAGCGGACACAGAGCTGTTTAGAACAGTAATGGGGGGCAGAATGGGGCGGCTCCTCCTGAAGGCCACGATCATCTCCACAGTTTTGAGCGTGTTAAGCTCCAGGTTGTTCTGGCCGCACCAGAGAGTCAGCTGATCAACCTCCCGTCTGTAGGCCGACTCGTCACTGTCCCGGATGAGGCCGATGGGTCTCTTGATGGGTCTCCTGAGGTGCAGTCGTTGATGTAGAGGGATAAGAGCAGGGGGGGTGAGCACACACCCCTGGGGAGGCACCAGTGCTAATTGTCCGGGTGCTGATGATTGCCAGCTGTAAAACACATCTAATCTGCTTCAGTAATTGCATTGGAAGCCTAAAGTGTGCACTGTAAGCTGTATAATGAAGGACAAATGGTCAGACATAGAACTGAAATAAATGTTGGATCATAAATCGTGGTCAGAGCGTCAGTAAGTGAAACCATCATGCTGAGAACACCTGCAGCTCAGAACAGTAATGATGGACACAACGGATGATAATGTTGAATCACACAGAGATATGAACAGTAGGGGTGTGATTAAATTGTGACGAGATTTCTTGTCAGGCAAAAAGCTGTCTCACGAGACTCACTCAAATTACATTTTTCATGCGCTGTCAAGCCACACATAAATTTTCTGACGAAGTGAAATACAAATGTATAACTGATGAGATTCATGGAGCAAATAAACTCCGCCCAGCTGATTGACACCAGTGTACGCTGTGATAGTTATCAGCAATGGTCCAGACAGCTGGGACGAGTGGTAACGTAGCTGATGAGTTTTGCAACATAAACACCTAAAAACTGAGGCCAGTGTTGCTCTGTTTGGGACTGTGAGCTGCACTTTATCAGAGCTGCTGAAGTTAACAAAAAAATGTAATGCACCGGAGAGTAAAGGGCAGGTAGACTTCTCATCAAATCATGACGTTAGTCTGGTAATATTATGACTATTATGAGAGAGCACAGATGTGCAGAAAACTGCTGAAACACAGGAGCTAATAAAGTTAGTAGTTTATAACTAAATTAGAATGTAATCATTTATCTTTGAGGTGACTAAATCATGACCCGACATGCATTGGATTTGTGGACATTAATCATGTCTACCTACCGAGCGTCTCACTGTAAGTAGCCCTCCAGCCAATCCCATTCACTGTGGCATCTGTCCTGAAGACCAAGTACAGCTGGTTGGTGGAGGAGCGCAGATTGGGCGGGAGCGCTGCACCACAGAATCTCCCCAGCAAAGGCGCCAAGGTGTCCTGTCCATCATACACCTCCACGTAGTCATAGCGACAGGAAGAAGATGCTTCCAGTTGAAAGGTGTTAAACCTGCAGAGAGAGAAACAGAAACATTACAGCAAGCTACAGAGCTTTTTAAATCCTAATTCACAGTCAGAATATATGCAGTTGATTGAGAACCCTCTATACTGACTTGAAAAGCATCTCAGCCTCTAGAGCAAATTTCACCAGACTGAAAGTGAAAAATCCGCCTCTCTCTGTAACTGAAAAGTACTTTGAGCTCCTCAGTCTACTCCTGCAGTCCAGTGAATGCAGTCTTACTTGATATCCAGCACCCTGTCTGTTGAGACCACAATATGGTAGGTACAGTTGATGTTGTGGTGGTAGTTGGTCATGGAGAGTGCTGGGCTGCTTACTGTACCCATAGTGTTGTTGAAGAAACCACCACATGCTGTAGAGAGAGAGAGGGAGAGAGAGAGAGACACACACACACACACACAGGACATTGATACAGTACAGCAATATAGATATATCTATACATGGATACATGCTGAGTTTTTAATATTTAATTTTTTATTATTATTGACAGATGTTTTAGTCCAAAGTCCTCACATCCTCACCCTGTTTTGCTTAATTTTGCTCATTACGACATAGCATTTATTTCACCATTTCTTTACTTACGAATGGCTCTGTACTCTGCAATGAAGCCTCTGTCGCTGATCACAGAGTCAGAGTAGAAGTGGAGTAACATAGGGCCAAAGGTGGAAAAGGGCCCTGGGATGCTGATACCACACAGAGTGGCAATAGCAGGGCCAGTAGTAGCCAGGCTGTAGATCTTCAGCGCGTCATACTGACAGGTGGAGTGTGCTAAACAACAGAGACAGGCCGCTTACTCCACAGTAACTTACTGTTGCTCATCAAACAACAAAGAAATATTCCAAAAGGGAGACCCTGTCCATATGTGACTACTGCTAACACTTGCCTTCTACTTGGAAGACCTGAAAGGTGATGACAACCACGGTCTGTTCTCCAGCATGTATGGTGTAGTTGCAGTTGGAGTAGTCAGGGTAGTTGGCTGGATAATTTGGAGAAAGCACACGACCGCTGGCAGCTGTGAACATTGCCCCGCACCCTGATGAACACAAAACATCAGACCCACGCTGAAGTTAAGTTGTCTTAAGAAAGCTCTTTCTCACAGTAATTACAATGCAAATAAATCACAAGCTTCCAGCCACAAAAGGACCTTTACTAGGTAACATGTCTTCTCCTTCAGGGAGTTTTGTGTTTCAGTTGCAAATGCTGTGACAGTCAGTCAGTATGGTCAAATTAACATGGTCACATGAAGCTGCCCTGGCTGCCTGGCTCTTACTGGTGCTGAAGGAGGCTGTGAAACCTCTGCCAGGGGCTTCAGTGCCCTGGAATCGGCTGGTGATGATGTTGTATGGAGCAATGATGGGGCCTGGCGCCATTGAGCCACAGCTTGTCGACAGCAGAGTCTCTATATTTTGGGTCTGACCTGACCATACCTGCAGGAAAATGCACACTGATTCAGAAAGTGTTGTCCAGTGGAACAGTGGTTTAGAGATCCATACTGCACACACCTGATGGAGTTATTAGACAACTTTGCACATTTAGTTTTCTACAAAATAAAAACCTATGTCTGAATTTGTAGGAACAAAATATCCAAACATTGTGTAAACATCATGTAAAATAATTGAAGAAACTGTTTAAGTGGACTGCTTTATACTGAATGATTAAAATGAACAACTAACCAACAATGAACATTTTCCTACACTTATCCTGTTGTATATTATTTACTATCTTTAATGTTTTAAGAAGGATGGATCTTATGTAGTCAAACATTTGCCTGAACTGCTAGGGCTGGGCGGGATGGTCGCTGGCTGTGGGGTGCTGCCAGTGCTCGGGGGGGCTCTTGCCGCAAGAATTGGGCTTAATGGACCTGGAGTCCTCCTGCCTGGGGGGACGGGAGAGGTGAAAGCTGGGGCCAGGGATTTGCTGAATTTGAGTTAATAGTTGTGATCACTACAACGCGAAATCCTGGTGGGACTGGTTTACTGCCCTAAATAACTAACAAATTCTCAATTACTAGTGTACCTGTGCCATGTAACGCACATAGTTTAACTTTTCTGCTTCATCTTATCCAGTAAGTTTGTGAATTAATAGTGAGTCAGGGGCAATGATAATATATTCATAAAAGATTCAGTTAATCAGATCGTAGTAACAATTCTCCAGATCCATGGTTCGGTTTAGGTTCATACCTTGGTTTTCTTCTGTTTTAATAATTTTTTTTTTTTTTGGGGGGGTGGGGGCATTATTATTGTTATCTATCGTGGGTTAATTAACTTGCAGGCATGATCACTCAATCATGACTGGACCAAAATAGTCATGTGACACACAGTTGGAAGATAATAAAATAGATTTACCATTTAATATTTACAAAATATAGTGTTTCCCACATATACTTTACTTGGGTGGGCCTCCCACTTATATTAGCAGCTGCTTAAGTAGGCTATATCTGGCAACCCATTTTAGCATTTTGCAGACAAACACAGAGAGAGGCGTTATCTGGTTTAATGTTACAAGATGTGGATATTGTGGACATTACGTAGCGACAGTGAACGCACCACTGCAGATGTCACTTAGTAACACGCTGGTTTCGATCCACATGCGGCACACCTGTTGCTATGAAAACAGAATCGTGGGTGAGTTTATTAAACGCTAGGGTTGTTGAAAGTAACTGTAGAACGTATGGTACTACTAAACTTTCACATGATCAATAAAATCAATACGCAACTAACATTTATGATTTTCACCCGCACATTGTGCAGCACGATAACACTTAGCTAGCGTCCTCTCCTCATTCTTCAAAGGACAGCTACATGACAGGCAGCAGAAAGTGAAGGTGAAGGCGAGCAGAGGAAAATATGAGCTCTAGGTTTCAGTCTGGCAGTAAATATAAAAGCGCTATGAGATAACTGTTGTTGTGATTTGGCGCTATATAAATAAAAGTGAATTAAATTTAATTGAATTTCCTACACACTGGGAGTTTGGCTTCTGACATCGCTACCTCATGCTTTCCTAAAATCCCCGTATTGACTTCACATAGGCCTGTTAAACAAAACAGACACATTCAATTCAGCAATATTAATAATTTAATCAGGATATGGGTTATAACCTCGCCTCAGGTCGTTACGTCAGCTTTACCTTAGTATAGATTACTAAAGTTGGCTCTTCTTAATGTTAGATCCCTCTTTCTGGCTTAGTCTAGGCTACGTCCTGGTGATCATAGTCAGCTTGTTGAACTGTGCACCCCTAGACCATGACTGTTTTAGCTGCCCCAGGGAGTGTGGTTGCGGGGGTGGCCTTGTAGTTGTTAGAAAGCACTTTAAATGCACTCAAATTGCATGTAATGATCCACCGACCATAATTTCTGTCATTTACTGCCCTCTCCAACTGGTCCCTTCATGCTGGATTTCCCTGAATTTTTTACTTTTATATGAGGATAAAATTCTTCTGATTTTAATTTGCACATTGACAAGTCTTCAGATATCCCGGCTCTTGACATCATTCATTCTTTTAATTTTACTCAACATGTGTCTGGCCAAAACCATCACCATGGCACACTCTAGACCCGGTTCTTAGCTTGGGTGTGAAGATATCAGCTGTAGAAATTAAGGACATATTTCTATCAGATCATCAGGTCATTCATTTCCACTGTGAACTACAGGCTGCTGTGTTGCCCAGTCTCTCCCAAAACAAACCTGCATTTTAAATGAGCATAGCGCCTCTAAATTTGGTGCCCTCTTCAGTTAATTTAGCAACTATTCAAACTCTCTGTTCCTTAACCCCTTGATCTCATAGGCCATCTGAAAACCAAACAAAACTTAAAATCTGCAAAGCAACCCTGGTTAAATGCAAATATCAGAAGCTGTAAATGGGAATGCAGAAAAGCAGAACGAAGATGAAAAAAAAAATCAGGTCTCCACTTCATGGCCATGAACAAGAGCTCGCCATTTCTCAAATCTTATTGCTGCCCACCAATACAATCCCAGTTTACTTTTTAAGATTCTCGATCGGTTAGTTAACCCTGCCTCTCGCTGTGCCTCTGCTGACTGTGATGCAGACTGTGAGACATTTTTATTACACTTTGTCGGTAAGGTGGAATCATTAGACCAAACCCTGTCTTTTTAGATGTTGTTCACCCTACCCAGGATCCTTGGAGTTCCTTTTCTTCCATTACCATAGCAGAACCTATGGAAACTATGTTGCAGATGAAGGTTTCCTCTAGCCCTCTTGATCTGATTCCTGCAAAGTTTTTAATTGAAGTTATGGAGTATATTAGCCCACACCTGCTTTTAATTTTTAACAGCTCACTATCTACTGGTTGTGTCCCGGTCTTCAAGACTGCATGTGTACAACCAGTCCTAATAAAGCTAGCCTTGACCCTTGACTGCCTTTTCTTTCTAAAACCCTTGAAAAGATGGTTTCTAAGCAGGTCCTTGCTGCAATGGAAAATAACTGTAGTTACAGTTACAGTTAAAAAAAAAAGTTACAGTCTGGCTTCTGTAAGCATCACACTACTGTGACAGCACTCCTGAAAGTTACCAATGACCTCCTAATGAACGCTGATGTAGTCATGTGTTCTATTCTGGTTTTGCTGGATTTGAGTGCTGCCTTTGACACCATTCATCATGGCATCCTGTTGAACAGACTGAGGCATTGGATGTGGGTATCTGGTACTGCACTGAACTGGTTTAATTCATACTTATCCAATTTTGTGATATATATATATATATATATATACACTCTCTCTTGGTGATGTAATAAGTAGGCATGGTATTTATTTCTATTGTTATGCGGATGGTACACAGTTATACCTAGCTGAACAGCCCACTGACCTGAGTATGCTGAGCTCACCACAGGACTGCCTTACCGACATAAAAATTGGATGTTTTAACCACCATAGAAATAAGGTCTATCTTAAATCTTACAGATGCAGAAACTGTTATACATGCTTTTATCTCCTCACGCAGTGACTATTGCAACAGCCTTTTCACTTGCGTTAATTAAAAAACCCTGAATAGGTTACAGACTGTACAGAACACAGCTGCTCTGCTCTTAACTAGGACATGGAAATATGATCATATCACCCCTGTTTTAGCATTGTTGCACTGACTCCCCATTTGTTTTAGGATTGATTTTAAGATTTTATTCATTATTTTTAAGGCTATTCATGGCCTGACTCCTGATTATATTTTAGATATTTTAACTCCTTGTGAGCTTTCTCGTGGTCTAAGATCTTCTGGCAGGGGCCTCTTGTCTGTTCCTGGATCCAGACTAAGAACGAAAGGTGACAGAGCATTTACTGTCAGGGCCCCGAAGCTCTGGAACGACTTGTCTGAGGAAATTAGGATGGCGGGGTCTGCCTCTTCTTTTAAATCTTTAAAAAAAAAATTTTTTACTGGAAAGCATATCCCGATTTTATCTGAGCTGCTAGTCATTTTACTATTGTTGCCTTTCCTTTTATCACTTTATCTTTGTTTCCTTGTCTCATCTTTCCTTATGTCCTGCAGAACATCTGCGCTATACTCTGTTGTGATCCTTGTTCTTTCATTCTGTATTTTACCCCCCTGTATCTTATTAACCATGTGGTTATGTGGTTACTCTGTTTGATAAGTGCTATATAAATAAAGCTTATTATTATTAGAGTTTTTCTGTTCATTTCTATTTCTGTGTGTGACCATCATAAATAAGTCCATCTAGAAATATTCTTCTCTTAGCAGCCCCCAAACTAACTCCAGAATCCCCCCAAATCATTTGCACATGTTTCTGGTGGAGCTCAGTGCTGGGACCTTGATGTAGCTGCTCTGGCAGGACCCACTACTGTCTGGAATCTGGAAATCACTGTTGAAGCTCATCTCAAGGTGGTTTCCCTCATGGGCAATGATCTGCCAGGAACACTCCACATTGGCTGGGAAGTTCTGGGGATAGTTTGGAGACTTGATTGTTCCTGAATCAGCATGGATCACCCCTCCACAGCCTGGCCAAAAACACAAATACGTGTACAAAATGTTCACAAAAGTAATATAAATGGAAGGCTGACAACAATGATAAAAGCAGACTGAATGAGCTACCTTCACAGGGATGCTGCTCTCATCCTTGTGAAAGTTCCCTGGCGAGTTGAAAGGTGTGGACTGTTTTCAGAAAGGCACAAGAACATTCCACACCAGCAGCGGCCACATTAACCCATATCATTCCATACTTCTTGTGTACTGGGACACAACTCTGTCTTATATTAGATATGTATGGCTGGAGCCTGCACTGTTTGGCCTTACAATCTATTCTGTCAGTAATGAAGTACTGAATACAATGGTCACCGGGCATCAAGGCTTTTAAAAGGGAGACACTATCACCCCCCTCTCATTCACTCTTGGACACACAAAGATAAAGTATGATTACTGTGCTCATGTAAAGATTTTATACTGAGCTGACAGCTGATACTAACTTCTGTGGAGAAAATGGCTCCCTGTTTTGATAAGAACATAGCACAAAGAAAAGCACCATTTGGAAACATGTGTGTACCCACTGTACGTACTTCTCTCACAGAAAATCAGTTCAGCATTTAGCTAGTGTAAAACCCACCTGAGGAATCAGCAGCCCAGGAGGCCATAAAGCCTCCACTGGACACACTATGGTCAGCCAGGAAGACTATAGCAAGCTTGCTGGATCCTGACTGGATGGTTCCTGGGGAGGTGGTCCCACAGTACTGGCCAATAACAGGGGAGCCAGGGGATCCTCCATTAAAGATGGTGACAGAGTCCCAGTGGCATTCAGAGTGGGGTTCCAGGCTGAAGTAGCCGAAGGTTAGCTGCGGTAAGACAGGGGAGTGGGAATCAACGACATGATTACAAGGTAGGTGGCTACTAAACAGTAGGCCCTGGGGTTAAAACATGCAACAGTCTAGGATCAACAGCAATTTAATTCAATTCAAATTTGCTTTATTGGCATGAATGTCAATTGAACAGTATTGCCAAGCTACAAGGAAAATAGAAAAGAACAAATCAATTAATACAATTCATTAAATAAATAAAATAAAACAGTAAACATGTGTGTATCTGTCTGTATATAAATAAAAAACCATAAACGTGTGTGTGTGTGTGTGTGTGAGTTTAATGAACTGTATGAATTCAATTCAAACAACTCATAGAGGGTGAGGCCTGGGATATCTGATTGTTCCAGTGATTTTGCCAATTCATCTACAGTATGCACTTCCACTGGGAAGCTCCCATCAGTCAAAATAAGAGTAACTGTAATGGACATCTCACATTGTGGCTCTGCCTTTGCAATGAAACCTCCCATACCCAGAATCCAACATTTTAGGCTACGATACGACGCAAGGGCCGGGAAGTCTGGACATTTGGTTTCAGCCAAAGTTCTTGGTCACATAAAGTTTTATTTAGTTCCATCACTAGAGAGAGATATATAAGTGACATTCCATCAAACAAATTTTGACAGCTACTTCCAACCCACCCTCCCCCACCCCGCCCCCTCATTTCCGTCCCCCAGGCAGAGTACATTCCATCAAATTAATTTTATTTGGTATTTCCTGCCCCCAATTTCCCTACTCTGAAACTTGTGAGTCTTAAAACTTTAAACTGAGTCTGTGTCTCTTCTTCTCTGTGCTGTCTTTCTGCTGTAGCTAAGCATAATGTGTAGCAGGCTGAATAGAGGAATGCCCCTCCCTCGCTCCCTCCCAAGCCACCCACCCCTCCCTCTGTTTTCTCAAGCAGGCACATCAACTTGTGTGTTTTAACTGTCATTAGCATCTTCAGGTAATCTTGTAGACCATGGAATAGAGTTATCTGTAACCCCAGACTCCGGTTGTTAAAAACGCAATCTGGTTTTATCAGACAGAGTCTGTTTTCGAAACAGGAACCTATTTTTATCAGACGGAGAGCAGACTTAGAGAGTGAAGACCTGAGAACCATCAGGCTTCCTGAGACACCCGTCATGACTAAAGTCGACTCCTGTCAGTCTAGGCTATTACCTGGACAAAAGATCAACTCTTCTAGACTAAATCAGACTTACTGAGTCAGACTCCCTCACGCAGACAATCAAGAGGATGTGGGCAGAGTTAGCCGTGAGCCAATGATAAGAGACTAGAAGGGGTTACCATAAGCCAATGATGGGAGTCCGTAAAAATAAAAGGAGAACATTTTCTTCAAGAAAATGCCAAGAGGGCACTTGGATCCTTGAACGATATCTACCTACCAAGAGGGGACCTCTATGCGGTGGAACTGTCTTTTTTTTCTTTCAAAAATGGAAAATTTTAACGTTAGTGTTATTAATATTTAAACATTTCTATGTGATACAGATATCACGAAAATATTCAGGGCCACTTTATTGATAATGAATACAGTTTTACCTGTAATTCAGAAGAAACTTTGACGCATGCACTAATATCAAGGACTGTCGTATTAGCAGCAAAAGGTACTTTATCCAGGTTTCAATTATATAAAATCGCTTATTACACTAGTGCAGTCATTTAAACTTTCTCTTAGGGGAATTCAGGTTTGTCTGTGGTGGTTGGTCATTTTTCTGATCTTTGTGGAATGGTGAAGTAGGCCTTTTAAAGGGCCTTCATCGTTATCTTATTTTGTATTTGCTGCTCATAATTTAATCCTACACAGGTTTTGAATCACACGTCATCTACACTTTGTTGTGGCTATATGGACATCTTCAGGACATTCATTTTTAACTAATTTATGAATCGAGCGAGGTCAGATAATAAGATAATGAAGTTCCCTTTTTCTAATAAGGATAATCTGATATTCAAACTCCAGAGTTTATGACATGAAGAAATTGGTAAAATTAATAATACTTACGAGGAAAATCTCAACCAAGCAGTCTACTGAAACATGATTTGATATTATGCTTTTGTAACAAAATATAAAGTCTCAGGTTTAGTGGTTGTCTTAACCATTTTCAGTCTTGACACTACATTAAAATGAATGGCTGCTCATAAGACAGTGAGTA